CCATCTAGGAGGGAAGCAACAAAGCCCACATGGAAGAAGCACACAGCTGTGTGATCATGAGGTGTCAACGGGGAAAGGTATCAGAAGTTCAAAAACAAGAAATAAAATTGGCACGAAGGAGTGTGGACAAAGTGGAGACCCAAAACCCACCTGTAAGATAATTGTACAGTCCTTCTGAAGGACCACCCGGAAGGGATGATAAGTCTAGGGAGCAATATAGCACTGAAGAAACACATACCTATCCTCTAGCTCAGTGGTTCTCAACCTTCCTAATGCCGTGGACCCCTTACTACAGTTCCTCATGGTGTGGTGACCCCCAACCATAACATTATTTTCCTTGCTACTTCATCACTGTCATTTTGCTACTGTTATGAATCGTCATGTAAATATCTGATATGCAGGATGTATTTTCATTGTTACAAATTGAACATAATTAAAGCCTAGTGATTAATCACAAAACAATAATGTAATTATTTATTGTGAAATATTAATTTTAATGAAAAATAAATGAAATTTTGTCCTGAAGCCTGGTGTAGCACGGGTAACAGTCTTCATGCCAGGTACTCGCATGTGGGCATATCTGGATGTGGGCGGACCCACCTGGAGACGGACAGAGGAGCGGTGTCTGGGTTCCAAAGACCATCGGAAATATGGGTTTTCCGGTGGTTTTAGGTGACCCCTGTGAAAGGGTCGTTTGACCCCCAAAGGGGGTCTAGTTCCTTAATATATCCTCCCCTTACTATTATGTTCTTTGTTTTATCCCATTAATCTTGTTAGACTTTCGTATGTTCATTTGAATAATTAAGAGCCAAGAGAGATAACCTTTCAGAAACAGTATGATTATAATGATAATAATGATAATAATGATTCTCTAAGGGTAATGGAAGGGGAAGGGGGGGAGCAGGAGCTGATAGCAATGATGGCTGTATAACCCCACTCAAGGGGAACGAATAACAGAATTTCAGATGAATGGATGCATTGGATGGTGTAAGATACGGCAACAAATAATAATAGATAATATGATAATAAGGGTTTCTGGGGGTAGGGTGGAGATAATTTTTGAAACTGATAGTGGCAGCAATTATAAAATCATGCTTCATCTAAATGACTTATGGATTGTTATAATATCTGTAAGAGCTCCCAATAAAATACTTAATTAAAATAAGAGATTAAAAAAAAAGTCGATGATCTTGAAGGAAAAAGTCTACAACAGCAGTTCTCAACCTGTGGGTCGTGATCTTTTGGGGTCGGAAAACCTTTTCACAGGGGTCGCCTGATTCATAACAGTAGCAAAATTACAGTTATGAAGTAGCAACAAAAATAATTTGATGGATTTGATGGTTGTGGGGGTCACAAAATGAGGAACTGTATTATAGGGTTGCGATATTAGGAAGGTTGAGATCCACTGGTCTACACTGTCCTGAACACATTGTTGAAATATAAGGTCTCTAGGAATTGGTGGAATACCAATGAAGGTGTTTCAACAATGAAGGCAATTTAGAAGCACTCACTCGTCTGTGCCCCCCAATTTGGAAGGCAGCCACCCGCCCGACCAATTGGAAGAGACCCGTTCCCACGAAAGGTGACGCAACAAAATGTTACATATTATCAAAGAATACCACGCTCAAGTGAAATTTTGCTGCAGATACTCACAAAGTGCTTAAAGCCATCCATCAACAAATTTACACACCAAGCAGAAATGCCAGATGAAGAAATTTTAAAATTTCACCACTTAGAGAGAGGATGTGGAATGAGGGCTATCACTGCTGATGTCAGATGGATCCTGGCTAAAAGCGGCGAATAACAGAGCTCTTTCCTTGTGTTTTACTGGTTGTGCATAGGCAGTTGACTGTGAATCATAACACATTATGGATAATTTTGCAAAAAAATGAGAATTCCAGGACACTTCATTGTGTTCCTGCAGAACCTGAGGCAGACAGTCAACACCGAACAAGAAGATGATGGTTTAAAAATGGGTGAAGTGCTCATTAGGGTGCTATCCTTTCGCCATATGGGTTCAATCAGTGCGCTGAGCAAATAACCCACGAAGCTGGACCACTGAAGAAGAATGTGGCATCAGGAGGGAAGAAAGGCTCATTAACACCCAGGCCTGGGGAAAGTGAAAAAAGACTTAAGCAGTGATTGGTGAAGGTCCACAGTTACAATCTTCAGTATATAGATTTCACCTTAGCAAAAAGGGAGGAAAAAAAAAACAAAACCCTGCATATCAGAACCAATAGTATCATAACAAATGGAGAAAACAGTAATATCCTGAAGAATGTCTTTTACATGGATCCACAACGAAAGTCCTTGGAAGCAGCCTTCAAGAAACCAAGGGGTGTGTTGCACTGGGAAAATTGGCCGCAAAACAAACAAAACCTTTTAAAATGCGAAAAAGCAAAGATTTCACTTTGAGGAAAAAAGTCCACCTGGCCCAAATCATGGTTGTTTTCAATCACATCTACTTGAGAAAGTCACAAAAGGGTAAATAGTCTATGGCCCTATGGGGGTTAGATTTTATGCCAACTTGATGGTACCTGGGTGGAGATAATGGTTGAGTCCAACCTGTCAATCAGGTGGGAGTCTGGTCATGCCACCTTGGGTGTGTGGCCCTTTTACGTGAGAGACCCAAAACCTTCTCTCTCTGGTCCTTCAGCCTCTCTGCTTGGAGGGATGTGTCTCCCTCCAGGGGCAGCCCAGCCGGCTCCCTGCCATGCTCCCACCAACAATGACGCACTGGGCTCTGCACCCACTGTCCTTAGTGGGACCACCCTCCTTCCTGCTTCCTATTTTGTGGTGGAAGCCTGAATAGGACTCTGGCTAGCATCAGACTCAATGGCCTTGAGTTGGCCTGGACTGGGATGTTTTCTTAATATAAATTTACTTCTGGATAAGAAGTTCTTTCTTTTACATATACAAGTTCTAATGATTTGGTTTTTCTAGACAAGCCAGCCTAGCACAGACTCCGTTGATATTGAGTACTTATCTAGAATAAATAAAGGCAGGGACAAAAGGTTATTAGTGAGTATCTGGGTCTGGGGGTGTGGGGAATAGGAGGGGTGCTTAATTTCTGCTGGGAGTGAAGACGAAAACGTAGTAGTGATGTTATCATCAGATGGTGAATGCCATTTATGTCACTGACTTGCACAGTTTAAAGACAAACTTCTTGTTATGTACATTGGGCCAATGACACATTTTTCAATGCAAAAAAAAAAGAAAGAATTGTGCAGTCTTTCAAATTAATGTCCACAAGCAAAAATAAGTTAAACATGACAGCGCTGACAACAAATATACTGCCCCCCAAAGCGGGGTTCTGAGAAACCACTGCAGGACAAGCCCTTCTTCTAAGGAGAATTTTTATGTTAATGCAGTCTGGCCTGTTAGAGAGCAGTACTTCAGAAGAGAAGGGGTTCAGACTAGAGTAGGAATTAATTTACATTAGTCTAGAGAATGGACATTATTAGCCCATGGTACGGGCTTGGAAGAGCAAAGCAGTTTGAGGGTTACAGGGAGAAGCATGGACAGGTAATCCCAGAGCTGAGCATTTTCAGCTACGGTCTATTACCTGCGCCTTGGCTTTCTAAGAGTGGAAATGATTAATTATTTGTTAGAAGAGGGAGAAGACATGACAATGAGAGAGAAGTGGCCCAAAACAGGGAATTGGTACGAAATGAACTCTTTCGTGGGCAAATGCTTTGATGAGCAATTGGAGGACTAATTGTGTCTTAAAGGAGTGATCTATGTCAGTCCTATATACCAAGGGCTGACAAGGATGACAGGAAAGGTGGGGAAGGAAGCGACAGAGGTCAAGAGTAGGGGGCTGAGTTTATCAGACCTCGCAGAAACCTCAAAGATGGAAAGGAAAAATTTGAGGTTGCTGAGTATTGATCAGGGAAGCAAATCTTTGCTTTGGAGGACCAGCATATACTAACTCTTTGTTCAAGAGTGTGTGGGGTAGGGCAGGGTCAGTTGGGGAAGGGTCTGCAGGAGCCCAGAAGGCCTGAGCTACAAGGATCAGTGTACTGAAGGGCCACTCCGCATGAGAAAACACGGAATTTCTAACCATCAATCTGCAACACGCCGCTTCAAGGGCTGAGCCTTAGGCACAAGCAGTTGCTAGTAGCAACAGGGCACAAGCTCCCAGGGAGAGCTGGGGAGGGCGGAAGCCCTGAGGCCTGGGAGAGAAGCCCCAGCTGGGCAGACAAGGTCAGGAACTGACTCGCAGAGCCCAGAGTGGGTGGTGGTTGTGCTAGTGTTAGGTGTGAGCGGATGCACCTCGCTGGAGTCAGCCAGCGGGGTGGGGTGGGGGGCCTAGTCCGGTGGCCCCTGGAGGGGGGCGCTGGTTTCTGGCAGCACAGTAATACCACAAGTTCACCCTCTAGGTCCCTCTTGGAGGCGCTGGGTCCTGTTAGCACCCAGACACAGGATTTAAGGCCAAGGGGCGGAAGAAGAACTAACCTTGCACTTGGGGGGGGCCACCCCGGCCCTGAAGATCCGCCCACCTTCCCTGCTGCAACTCCAAGCCCCCACCCTTCCCGGGTAAGGGCGCCTCCGCAGAATTGTCAGCACGTGTGCGTGTTTTCCTTTGCACTTCCGGCACAAATGCGAGGCCCCACAGGTGGAGAGCAAGGGGGCTGGGAGTGGAGAGACCACAAGGTGGCTGTAATCACCAGGCGGGAGGGAACGAAGCCCATTTCGACTCCCACCACCGTCCTGTTCCCGGCCGGCGTCCGGGGGAACAGAGCCAGTAACCTTGCGCCCCCTCCTCCAACTTCTCCCCCTACCGTTTGGATCGGGTAAGATGGAAAGAAAACGCGACCGCGAGGAAGGGCGATCAATGGCCCCAAAAATGGGCCGAGAGGACCAGGACGGAGGCTTGAAAAGAAGGGAATCCCCAAGGTCAAGTAGGAGCTCCAGTGAGAAGGGTTGGGGGCCGCAGAGGCCAGGTGGCCGCCCCGGGGACACGCCTGGGGGGAGGGGGTGGGGCCCAGGTCCCTTACCTGGCCTGCGGTGGACCATTTTGCAGCGGGCCCGGGATGGAGGGGTGGGCGCCGTCCCCGCCAGGGGCCGACCCTGCAGCGCTGCTGTGAGTTCCGCGGCCACGGGGCGCTGGCCGAAGAGCGTGGACTTGACAAACTTGCCGTGGCCGGAGCGCAAGACGGCGGCCCCGGCCCCACGCGCTCCGCCGCCGGTGGCGCGGCAGCTGGCTCCTCGGAGCTCCCCCGCGCTTCTGGGCTTTGTTGGGTTGCGCTGCCCCCCTCTGCGCCCGGGTCTCCGGGTCCCCGTGCCCTCGCTGCACCGGGAACGGCTCGCCGGCGTTCGAGGAAGCCCCTGGGGGCCGCGGTGCCACTTTCCTCCCGGAGGCGCGCGTGCAAGAGCGGCCAGGGAGCGCCCGGCTGGGCTGCGCGGCCCGTAGATTCCCGCCCCCCCCCCCTTCCCCTCCCTCCCCCCACCCACTTAGAAGCTGCTTAGGATCCGGGCTGTCAAATCCAGCCCATCTGCTGCAGTCACAATCAGTCTCAACCGAACGGTTCTGACAAATCTCCGCCAGAAGCTGGAGTTGGGGAGGCCTGGGGGTGAGGGGCGGGGATGAGAGGCGGGGGCGAGGGGCGCCGGGACCTGGCGTCAGGGCCAGAGGCTTCTATTGTCTGCCCCAAAGGAGGAAGCGAAAGGAAATGCGGGACCAGGAGGGGAAACAATGTTTTCCTTTTCCTATTCCATATCAATCAATCAATCAATAAGCCCATCCTGGTAGACCCTGGCTCCCTCACCCGCACCCCAATCGGCTGTTCTGTCTGGGTGGAGGGGAAGTCTGTTAATGAGCTAAACAAGCAGGTACCATAATCTTATCATCAGGTTAGCCAAAGTCTTGGGAGCCAGAAGTTGGCCTGCTAGGAATTGATGGCAATGCTCAGCTGCTAGTCGCCTGCTGGTATTTAAGTGAGAAAAGAAATTTGCATTGGGCAAGAACTGCTGAACTCAGCTTAGCCCCATTTTAAGTTTAGAAGAATTCTCCCCACTCCCCTTTTCCCCAAATTCTCATAGAAATGCTATTTTTAAAGATGCTGTTTAATTACCCCCACCCCCCTTTTCCCCAAATTCTCATAGAAAATGCTATTTTTAAAGATGCTGTTTAATTATCCCCACCCCCACCCCTTTCCCCCAAATTCTCATAGAACTGCTATTTTTAAAGATGCTGTTTAATTAGAAAATTGCAACTTCTAAAGTGGATGTTTTTCCAAACCAATTACTTCTGCAGATGAAATAGGGCACACTTTCTAATAATATACTGATAAGTTACTGTATTGACACTGCAACAGAAAAACCTATATGTTTACTCGTGATAGGCTTAAAAGGATTCCCTCAAATCTGTTTGCTTTTTTAAAGGTAAAAATAGCAGTAGTCCTAGCTATACAAACAAGTTTAAAGCATGCAAGAATATCACCAGCGTGGTTATGCCCAGTGTTCACATTTCCTGAAGTGCTGCCAATTGCTGGAGTGCCTGAGCGGTGGTCTTGAGTAAATAATTGCAGTTGGGGCAATAATTTGTTGGATAAACCAATCTCTAGCTGAAAGTCTGAAAGAGGGCAAATTTTCAAGGCTGGGGAAACAATATATACTTTACCATGAAGCTTGAATTGAGTTTTCAATCAATGTTCAAATCACTCTTTTGCTTTATATAGTACTTGAGAACCGTGTTCCAGCCACATGAAACATCCACTTATCTAGCCAGGACTGGGTCTTCCACTAGGTCCGTGGCCCAGTGGTGTTCAAACAGCACTCTGCACGGAGGGGTACTCACTCCATGAATGCCGACTGTTTGATGTACAAAACTCAAACCCAACCTACTGCCTGCCATCAAGTGAATTCTGAGGCTGTGCATCTTTACCAGAGCAGCCAACGTCATCTCTCTCGCTTTGCTGTAGAGCTGTGTTTGGTCCTCACGGTCAGCCTTACTGCTAGCCGTCAACTGTCTATCTGACAGCCCCACCAGGGCTGCATTGCGGTGACTCCATCAGTAAGGTAAAGTGGGCACATGTGAATGCATAATCAAGAACAACTAATCGCAAACTTTGAGATAGCTCAATTCATACTGGATCCGTTCCATTCATTATCAGTTTGTTCAATGTGTTTATCAATAAGAAATATACATATTTGTTGTTGTTGTAAGATTGATTAACGGCTTGCCAAGAAAACACTTCCAAAAGGATCGTTGTCAACAGAATGAAGGGTCAGGTTGGTGAGTAGCTAGCTTAACTGACAGTGCCCAAGCACTTAGTTATTTTGAAGGGAGAGACCACTTGGGCTGAGGTAGGCACTGGACTGGAGGCACGTTTCTGATTAACAAGTGTTTAAGTTCTGGCGCATTATTTCCTCTGCGGGTGGTTTATTTTCAATTCTATCAGGCCCAGTGGTGGCCTAACTGGACAATCCTTCTTCCAGTTCGTCAAGTCCTGGGTTTGGCCTTCAAACTGCATCTGGTCTACTTTTCTCCATCACTGACTGTGTGCTTATTGTGTGATAGTACTGAAACATAGGAATGAAAATATCAAATGAAAGGTTGGCCCTGATGGAATTCACAATCTAGGAGAAAGAACAGGCATGAGGAAAAGGTAAGTAAGTAGATTGTATCCTCTGTGGAGTGGTAAACAGTACTTGGAGGAAAGTAAAGCAGGCAGGATTGCTTGGTATAGAAACTGGTTGCTCTATGAAGGACTGGCTGAGCAAGCTGAGTCTGAGCCGAAGATTAGAGGCAGTGAGGGAAACAGAAGCAACACAATGCAGATGCTGAGACAGTTCACTCCTTGTAAAAAATATGACCAATGTCATTGAACATATGTAGAGATATTGGCAAGTCAGAATACACTATTGTGTAAACATCCACCAAAAACACACTGAAATATTATTGTGAGGGGCAGCTATCTGGAGAAGAGGGAAGAGCAGGTGGCCCTTTGCCTAGACCAGCAGTGTAAAAATGAGGCAGCAGAAATAGGTTGAGTGAATTGCTGTCATGGAGGTGGGCTTAGGTGATAGATTAAGGTGACCAGACATCTGCTTTTGGCAGGACAGTCTCGATTTTTAACAATTTTTCCTGCATCCCGCGGCGTTTTAAAAAAGTCCCAAATTTTGGAAAGAATGCACAACAAACTAGGGTATACAGTTTTTGACTGCCCTGTGGCTATTTCACCAGGATCTGAGTTTTATCAATGGTGTCCTGCTTTTGTCTCGATTTACCAGTGTGAAAATCTGGTCACCTTATAGATCATTCAGTAGGATTTCACAGAGCACATCCTTTGGGTAGGTCATCAGGAGAGACCAATCACCAGATAACAAGCTTAGTAGAGGGGCAGTCAAGAAGGACTCTCGATAAGATGGATGATTGGCACAGTGCCTGCAAGAATGGCCTCAAACATAAGAAAAATGGTAGGGTGGCACGGGACCAGCCGAGTTTCATTCTGTTGTGCATAACAGTCACTATGAGTTGGAACTGACTCCATGGCACCAACTTAAGGATTCTGAGATGATGCAAACGGTTTGCACTGAGCTACTGGTGTCTGGAAGAAAGGCCTAGGGATTGGTTTCCATAAAGATCACAGCTAAGAAAAAAATCATTGCAGTGGAGTGCAATTCCACTCGGTGACACTTGGGTCGCCATAAGTCAGAATCAACTTGTCAACTGTGTGTGTGTGTGTGTGTACGTGGGCACGTACATATGCAAAGGCTTGTTTTAGACTAAATTACATGGGAAGACACAGTTTTGAGTCGAAGAAAGACCTGCCCTGAGTTTGGATCCCTGTAGCTATCATACTGAGCATGAATGATAAGGGACAGAAAGAGGAAGCAGGGAGCTCTATTAGTAAACTATTGCAAGAGTGAGTGAGAGAAAATGGCTTGCTATGACAGAGCCATTGCAAGAAAGGTACTAAGAATTAGAGATAGTTTGGAATTGCTTTGAATTAAGAGCCAATAGTGTCTGTTCAAGACTGGTGATTTTTAAGAAAGGAAGATAATAAACTTGATTCTAAATATTGACCCTTGAGCAGTTCAATCTGTGCAGTTGCTGTTAACTGAAAAGTGGGATACTGTGAGTGGATCAAATTGTGATGGAAGAACCAGGAGTTCAATTGTGGATGTGTCAAGATTAGGATACCAATTAATATATGAGATAGGTAGTTTATTGTGCCAGCCTGGTCGATAGACACATGTGCGATTAATTGAAGGGCGGAGAGATAAATGGCTCAGTGAGCCTCGCCTTTCTTGTCTCTGGCTCTTTGATCATCGGACCAGTGTGCGGCTGCCTTGCTTGTTCTGTGCCTCAGTTTGCAAGCTACACTACCTGTGGGACACCTAACTTGTGGACTGTGTTGCTGTAAGTTGAGGTCCCTTTAAGACTTGCCTTGCCACACAATTGGAATTTACATCTCCTGAGCTGGGGACTGACGGTTGGTGAGCTGGCTAACTGTTGGTGACCTGCCTTACTGTTTGCTGCCTATGCCAGGATAGCCTGACTCTCTACAGAGGACTACCTGATGGCCCTCAAGACTTGAAGGACTGCCAGTGTCTCACAACTGTCTCACGGGAGTGAGTTGCACTGAGCCATTTGTACTGCTTTATAATTTAACTGTTCATTTCTTGTATTATCTATCTATCTGTATATAATCTAACCATTCATTTCTTGTGTTATATATATATATCTATATATATATATATAATTATTAGCAATCTGGTTTTGTCTCTCTAGACAACCCTGTCTAACACAACATAAATTTCAGAATTAATTAATTTAGGCTAGTTCCAGAGTGAGAATAGAATGGTTCCAGAATTCCTGGATGGTGCAACGGTTTAAGGAGCACAAGTGTAAACTAAAATGTTGCAAGTTCATGTTCACCCAGATGGCCAGGTTATCTTTTTTTAACAGTCACTGAAAACCTACTGTGACCCTCATGGTGGCACCATGCGTCACCACAAACTAGGTACCAACTGGCTTTGGTAGACTAGGGCTTGGATGTTGGTAAGTATCACATACATTGTGTGGTAGTTGTGTTTGCATTGATGGTTCTTATTGCTGTTTGCCAACCACACTGAGATGCTGAGTAAACGATTGCGTCAACCTTCAAGGATCATGTCTGTGGTACACGTGTCGGCATAGGTGTGAATATGAGTTGTATAAAGTGTAGATACAGCTCCCTAAGAGCAAAGTGGGCACAAGGAATGAATCTTGGAGCAACTCAAATCTTAGAATGTCCATATGGAGAACCAACAAAAGGAGCCAGCCAGGGTAGAGCAACTCCCTCTACCCACCCACCACACCACAGCCCAGCAAAAAACCTAATAAAGAAGGATTTCAACAAGGGCATGACATGCTAGTCACTTGATACTGCTACGCTTGTCTCCACAGAAAACCTAACAGAACAATTTAGAAACTTCTGAGAGTTGATCAAGATTACTAGATGACTTGCCTAGTGCTTGTCCACGGAGGCCTGGGTGCTGTGAGCTAACCCTTGGGCTGATAACTACAAGACTAGCAATTCCAAACCACCAACCACTTGGGAAAAACACAAGGCTGCCTGCTTCTGTAAAGATGTACAGTCTCAGAAACCACATTGAGTTGTTATGAGCTGGAAGTGACTTGATGGCAGTGGGAAGCAGTTAGTGTCGGTCTATAGTACAACATTCAGGGAATCCCGGAACCTATGTAAGGGCTAGCACATGGAATTATTTAGTGTGTGAAAATCAAGTAGTGAATCAATGAAGGAATCAATGCTGACAAGTGCCATGCAACTTTCTGCCCATGGATGCTTTCTCAGGGTCCTCTGTTCATCAAATATTGATGTTGAGCAAGATTTATGAGA